ATAGAGCAAACATTCAAATGTTTCATGAACGTTGAAATGGCTGATATAATTATGCGCCACACAAATAAGTTAGCAAAAGAAACTTATAATGCTTACAACAATGCGCATCCAAACACAACTCCTAAGTCATGGACGCCTGTGTCAATAACAGAGCTGTATGCATTTTTTGGCATACTTATTATGACTGGTGCGAACCATAGCAATGGAGAACATGTTCGAGATTTATGGAGCGTCAAAAACTATCCTTTATATCGCGCCACAATGGGAGTCAACCGTTTCTGTTCGATATTGCGGTTCCTAAGATTTGACGATAAAAACACTCGTGCAACACGCTTACTAACTGATAAAGCAGCACCGATCAGTGAGTTGTGGACGATGATGAACAATAATCTTGCTGCACATTACAAGCCCAGCTCATGCTTGACGATTGATGAACAATTATTTCCTTACCGTGGACGCACACGGTTTACGCAGTACATACCGTCAAAACCTGCTAAATATGGTATCAAGGTTTGGTGGATTTGCGATGCCACAAATGCATATCCACTGCATGGACAAATATATACTGGCCAAGCAGAAACTGGTAGGGAAACGAACCAAGGCGAACGAGTGGTGAAGGATTTGTCTGCCAAATACCAAGGAAGTGGCCGAAACATTACAATGGACAATTTGTTTACGACCTTGCCAGTTGCAGAACTGCTTCTCACCTGGAAACTCACGATCGTTGGAACTTTGCGCAAAAACAAATCATATATTCCTCAAGAAATGAAGCAGAACAAAAACAGGACAATTGGTTCAACGACATTTGGCTTCAAAAATAATGTGACAATGTGCTCTTATGTTCCCAAAAAAAATAAAGCAGTAATTTTGCTTTCGACCATGCATAATGATGCTGAAATAGCTGACAGTGGGAAACCTGAAATAATTGAATATTATAATCGTACCAAAGGTGGTGTTGATCGAATGGACCAAATGTTTGCGGAATATCCAACACAAAGACAAACAAAACGATGGCCACTAGCGATGTTCTTCAACATGTTGGACATTACAGCTCTTGCAGCCTACATTGTCTACGATTTGAATAACCCTATGTTGCCTTGGAGAACAAACAACAAGCGTAAGCAGATCCTGCGCAGCTTGGCTGAAGCATTGTGTATGCCCATTATTGAAGCCAGAGCCATAAATCGTCAAGTGACGCGAAATTTTTCGACTAAAATTGCTATTGAAGCATATTTCAACCGACCGGTGGAATCAATGGTGTCAACAGCAGCATCAACATCTGCCGCAGCGCGCACGCCAAAACCTGTGTCCGGATCTTGCTATTTATGTTACGCACAAGAGGAAAAACGCCGTAGAAAAACCAGAAAGCTGTGCGACAAATGTAAGAAGCCAATGTGTCTTGAACATTCGGTCACATCAACAAATTGCTCTATTTGCCATGATTTTCCTTAGATATAAGATGCATTTTTATAATTTTTATAATAAAAGTCAATAATATAATGTGTGAAATGAATATTTTTAATTTTTCAAATAAAAAAATAATATAAAAAATGTTTTTTTTTTATTATTATGAGGATTTTTACTATTGGGGTACAAACGTATCCCGGGTGTGTGTTTACGTATATAATGTGTTTGGAAGGCTGTAGCTCCTGAACCAATGGTCCGATCTGGTTCAAATTTTGAATTTGAAATCAAAACTAAATAATCTTCCTAGATCCGGTATAGAGGTATAGCGGTTCAAAAGTTACAACACTTCAAAGTTGAAAGTGGATAGATTTGTACCCGGGTGTGTGTTCTAGGGTTAAATGCAATTTATCAAAACCACGACTACAGATTTTGTCTGAGAATGCTTCTAGTTCACGAATTTCTTAAATTATCTTTGTTTTAGTTCAGTGTTAACCATTTATGAGGTTTGGAGGATTTTCTTTAATAGCATTTTTTATTATGCGACATTTGTCACCAATTTTGACTGTGACTGCACTGTGACTGATATACGCCAAAAAGGGATACAATCTTTCACTAAATTAACAATACTTTTTACTCAATCAGCCTTATCGTGAGTTAACCATGAACCGCCTGTAGTGAATACACGGATTCGAAAAGTGACCCGATTCGGGAAAATAAAACTCGTGATAGGGCTGAATATCTCGGAAATTAAAGAAGATTTTCAAAAACAGATGACGCTATTTGAAGGATCTTAATTAGTTTAGTACGACTGCGTTCTTAACTTAATTTGTACCAATCTACCAAAAAAATGTTAGCCAATAACTCGGAAACTAAAGGAGATATCCAAAAACTGTTAACAAAAATGGCACTTACGACAATTTTTCTTCCAAGCGACGATATTTGAATGTTACTCGCATAATTTTGAACCTGTGTGCAAATTTTCGGGAAAAAAGTTAAGAAGTATATTCATATGCTGAAGAGATATGTTCGCAGATTTACAATTTATTTAAAGTATATCTATCAGCCTTATCGCCAATTCCATGTAAATAAATCGCTCATATAACTTAATTTGTGCATTTAATATATTTCACAATTAACTTAAATACTAATTTACAAATATTTGTGCAACCAATTCGACATAGTAAATAAAAAAAATTGGTATTAATAAAATAAGTGCTTAATACATTTATTTTTCAGTTAAACATGAGATGTTCAAGCGCACTGCAATAATAGCCCTGTTCGCGTACGCACTATCCAGTAAATCCAGTACTAATTTTACTGGTTTTTTACTGGATGTCGTTTTCGTACGCAAAAACTTGCAAGAAACTAGCAAAAGAGGGGAAATTGAGAGAGCAAAAATGACAGCTGAACTTGCAAGTTTTACTGGATTTTTACTGGATAAATTTTTACTAGCAACTATTTGCTAGTAAGAAAAACAGCTGATGGCATGATGCTTATTGTAAATCACATTAAGAAAATAATTGTTTGTGTTGCTTTTAGAGCTGCAATTGACAAAATAAACCTATTTAAATATATAATAAGATGGAAAAAATTAGTTTTCGAAGCAAATTGCATCGGAAATTAACAAATTAATCAGCTGTTCATAAAACTAGCAACTTCTTGCTGGTTTTGCGTTTTCGTACTTACTTGCATATTTCACTCATTGGGAGTAAATATTGGCTTACTCTCCGAAATTTGGTTACTGGCAAGTTACTGGATATTTTTTGCTGGCGAATACGAAAACACAACTATAATTGCCGAAAAACCGTTGCCGTAGCTCTGTCTATTTACTGGATATACTGAGTGAAAAACTGATTAAGTTGCCAAATTTATTCTTTATTTTGATTAACTAGCATTTCCAATGACCTTTGATTATTTAAACAAATAAAGATGGAAAGATTTTATAGATATATACGATTTTATAGCCAACTAAATTAAAATTTTTAGAGTGCTGAAAACTTTTCGCTGTATCTCTTTTATTAACAACATAAGTTCATTCATATGCCAGCTGTTCGGTAGTTTCACCAGTGGAGTCCATTCCCTGTAGGGAAAATCCCTAGTTCTGAACTGGTGCGCTTCTAGTACATTTAGACCCAGTACTGGTTCGCGATAAATCTCTTTTGCATGCAAGCAACTGGCGAATTTAACATGGCGATGTCCTAGGAAGTGTCAATTGCCCCCCGCTGCATCCCTTTTTCGATAGTTCCGAACTAGTCCTAAATTCTATAGTTCCGAACCAGTTCTAAAATCGACAGACGAAAGAAAAAAGTATCATGATTTTTCAATCTTTTTGGTTCTTCCGTGTGTGCGATTTTAAATTGTTTTGGATGAAATATGTTTTCAATTTGAAATTAAATTTGTTTGAATGATTGTAAGAAATGTACGTTTACATACCTTTAGCTGTAGCTGAGTTTGCAGAGGTGCTCGCTGTTATTTCTTAGATTCCAGACTGTCCCAAGATGTTGCAATGTTAACACAAATTTTAGTTTTGTATTACCAAGCTATGAAAAAGCATCTTCGAAGCACCGAATAGAAGCGTATTTGAACGAAAAAGCCGCCGAACACATATCTATGTAAAGTAAACAAACCACCCGCTGCATTCCTTATTCGAAAGTTCCAAACTTGTTCTAAATTCGACAAATAAGATCTAGTTCGTTCTGCATCCCTTTTTCTATAGTTCCGAACCATTTCTAAATTCGTCACTTTAGATATCGATTTCTAGTGAAAAAAACTGAAAAAATTAGTATTTTAAAAGCACCACTTTTCGCCGATTTTGGTCTGGTGGGGATCTAGTTCGTATCGGACTAGTTCCTTTTTGGCTATAAAGACCTAGTACGGAACTAGAAATTTGATTCACTAGTCCGCGGTTTCCCTACAGGGTCGATGACGGAATTTGATGCTCCAATTGCGTAAAAATTAGCACTTGGTTTCCCGGATTAATGGCTGTAATAATCTGTAATCGTATGGCAAAGCCCTCATCTTCCTTATATTTTTTCACTTTTTGGGTAGCATCTTCAATTTCGGTATTTAAAATAGAATTGAACACTTTTGCTGCTTGTCTTTTAAGGCCTTTATTCTACTTTCTCTTCGTTATTTTAATTTCACTTCACTATCACTCAATGCGTTCAAAATTTTTTTTACCTTTTCCTCTTTAGGAAACAGTTGCGAGTTCGTTAAGCCAGAGCGAAAGACTTTCGACTTTATTCAGAATAAGTTTGGCAGTTTTAAATCGATTCTAAATATTTTATCACTTCATTATTAAATTGCAAAAAAATATATCCCCAGAGTTATCAGTCTCCAAAGCTTAGCTCGAGATAAGCCTCTTATGCAAAGTAAAGCGTAGGTAAAAGATTTCCCAATTGAAGATAGACGACTAATAAAAATGTAAATGCTTATCATACCAGGGCTTCAACTCTACGTTACCTTCGCAACTGCGAATTTCAATGCTTTACGTAGTATATTTTCGTAATCTTTACAATTGGCTACACACACATTTGCATACATGCATACATACCGGTCAAACATAATTAGTACCAACATTAAATTTTTTGCAGATTCAAGTCGTAAATGGAGTAATTTTGATATCCTGGCGCCAGTCGGTTCTGCAAAAGCAAATTGATTATGGCGCGAAATTAGGTCATGTCGTACTCTCCTTAGCCAAAATGGAATTAGAAAATTTCTTTAAAAATGTGATGCCTGTTGCAGATTACTTCGATCAAAGTGATATGCTAATAGCTGTAAGTATTGACTGGCAGATATGTGTACCGAATGGAAATTGATAAGCCGAATACTGCAATAAATTCTAGCAAACATATTAAAACACATAGTTTGCGAAACAAAGTACTTCGGCTTGCGATTTTCGAGCCGTTACGTGTAATCATTACTGACATTTCGAGGTTATATTGTTCCACTTCTTCCAGGTGAATGGTGAGCGTGCACCTGCCGAAGTATACAAGGACTTTCGCACTGCTGTACTCGACATATTGAGCACGCTTGAAAATGAAGAGGCCATGCTAAATGGAGTTACAGGTATGGGCAGAGGGATAAATGATATACCCGGCAGTATTGTTAGCGTAGACACCGCACCTAGTCAAGCCGCGAATATTACAGACATTTCGAATGCCAACGCAAACAAAACTGTCTTTTCTGCTGCCAACACCAACCACGACAACAATAGAAACTTCTATAATAACAATGGGGGCGATCCGAGCGTAGCGAATGCTGTGGGCGCACACATTGTATCGAGTGCCATTGCTGCTGCCGCGACTGCAGGAATGAAAGATGCCGAAGTCATCACCATACAGACCGAACCGGTGGCCACCAATAACGCTGCAACAAGCATGGACCTCAAGATGGACAATATACCATCAGTTATTTGGATTATCGGTGGACCAGGTAGCAATAAGGCAACACTTTGTATGAAGGCTGTAAGCTTGAATCCTGGTTGGGGACACATAAGGTGAGGCCAAGCGATGTTGAGTGCTTAGGAAATACAGTTTTACATGTTTATACTTTTTGATAGCATGGGACGATTATTGCGCACCATAACCGATTCGGCCCCACGTGCCAACACAGAGAACTATACTGTCAAAGAAGCGCTATCGGCTGGTGAAATGGTGCCGGAGAAGGCGATTAGCAACATTCTCGAAGCGAATATTCGACAAATGTTGGATCGCAAGGGCATACTCATCGACGGTTATCCGCGAAATTTGCAACAAGTCAAACATTTTGAAAACAAGGTGGGTAAAAGGAAGATAAGGATGCATCCAAATATTGCTACAATCTTGCAAATTTTTTGATCAAGAATGATAGAATACAAAATTGCGCATTCCCGGCGGCGATGATATCTCTCAAGTAGAAATAAACAAAGCCGCCATCATAAGACCTATATTAAACTACGGCGCACTAGTCTGATGGCCGGTATTAAGCAAATATGTAGTATTATGTAAATAAACTAGGTAGCTTACAAAGAGCAGTGAGGGCAGGAATAACGGGCACACTTAGGTCCTGCCTGAGAGTAGCGTTAAAAACAATCTTACTCTTGATCCCTAATGATCTCAACCTATGGGGAACACGCCAATTCCGACACGGGATGATTATCAACGAAATACAATCACGATAAAAGACCGACTATATAGTATCTAACCTCCTTCAAAAACATGCAAGTGACAACCCCATCCTGAAGAGAGTAAAAGAGGGGCACAGTGGCTGATAGAGAAGTAATCTCTCTCTACACCGACGGATCAAAGATGAACTGCAGTGTGTGGGCAGTTGTATACTCCGAGGAACTCGGCGTCTCCCTTATCTCCATCTGGGGAATGGGCCAAGCATCTTCCAAACGGAAGTCTTAGGCATGCTTGAAGCTTGTATGATTGTAGGAGAAGGCATCGGCAGAAATAAGTAAGCAACAATATGCTCTGACAGCCAAGCAGCTCTGTGAGCACTAGCATAACCGATCACCAAATCCCAGATAGTCCAGAAGTGTAAAACGGAATTATGCACAGTGTCTGCGTCAATAAGCGTCTTTATTGTCTGTGTGTGAACATTGAAAGTAATGAGAAAGCCGATGAATTGGCGAAGGCGAGAGCCTACTTGGAAGTATCCGAGGGTGTTGCACTGTGATGCCCTCTCGGTTTGCTTTTTCTTGGAGAAGAAGGTGGTCGGACATTCTGAGCTAGGGAACCCTGGCCTGACTATAACAGGACTTCTAGACCTGCTTAACAGACCACTACAGGCCACTGGGCCATAGGTAAACGTGCAGAGAGAATTGGATTCTCATATGTAGAGCTTGCCGCGGCTGGACTGGCAATAAGAAGGTGGACGGACATAACAGGACGAATACACTAGACCTGCTTAATAGACCACTACGGGCCACTGGGCAAACATGCAGAGAGAATGGGGCTCCGAATATAGAGCTTGTCGCAGCTGTGAAATGGAGGCTACCCTCCTCAGCATCTACTTTGTGAATACCGATTTTAGGCTTAAAGCACTAGGAAGACACATACAAACAAAACTAGCAGCTATATCAGGAACTACTATATGTGAAACCGGGGAGTGCATTAAAATGGAGCAAAACGCGCTTATTGTATAGTAGTAGTACTAGGGATGGGTACATTCGATATTCGAAGCTTCGATATTCGATTTTTAATCGAATTTTAGTTCCAAAATGACGAATTTTTGAAATCGAACATTGTGTTGCTAAAATTCAGATAAAATCGAATTTTTCTAGAAAAAATCGAGTTTCATCATTTTTTGTAAAAAACTAGTTTTTTTGTTGATTTTTTATTTTAAATGTTTAGAGGCTTTTACGTTGGTGGCATGAATCTTTTGCCTGAGAAGTCCCCTAGTAAAATTTTCCGGAGAATAATTTTCTAGAACATATCAATCCTCGAATGACCTTCCAAATTTGCTTTTTGCGGGATTTCTTGAAGTAAGGGTCAAAATGACCCTTTTAGGCGGGAGTTAATGGGTTCAAATGTTCTACAAAAATATTTCCCATGAAATTTTATTATATATGTCTTAACCTTTAATTTCGCTCAGACATTTATTTTAACTATTTCTTAGACTTTTTTGAAAACTACTTAGGCTGAGACATGAAAACTTTAGTAGGCCATGAAACAAAATACGAGCTATCTTTTGCAAATCCACCGAGTTTATTATTACTGGATGGGTATACTTTCAGAAAATGTTACCAAAGTCCGGGCTGGTTTCGGCTGTCCCACAGTGTAATTTGAGTTTAACTTTTTAGACAAGTGGCCACTCTCTTTAAGCACCTCAAAAATATTTTAATTGTTGCATAGTATTTTAAGCACAACACTTCTTTAACTAAATTCGCCTTTTAAAACAGGTAGCACCCCTCCTGAATATAATTAAAAATAAAGTATCGATTGATACCCATATTGGGGTAATTTATTGAACTTATTAAATAATTTGATTTTGATTTTCTTACATATGGCACAAAACTAAAACTATATTACGCATCCACAGGGCATGCCCTTTCATTTGATACCTACCTCCTTTTTGAAAGTCGAACGAACGATACAAATTTTGTGACTTGGTTTACATATTTAACGCAAATATCTGCGTAAGCGATTATTTCAATTTGATTTTCTAACCTTTTCATAGGCCCAAAGGACAAGTCTTTAATTTGACACCAAATTTTTTAAATTGAACGAATGATACAGATTTTATGACTTGGTGTTCAATATTTAACGCAAACATCTCCGAACTCGATTAAGAAGTTTCAATTAAAAAAATTGTTGAAAATTCGAAAAAATTCGAATTAAATCGAATTTGCACCACCAAATTTCGAATCGATTAATCGAATTGTTGGGCAATGTTTGAAGTTCGGAAAAAATTGAATTTCAACCACCAACTACCCATCCCTAAGTAGTACTATAAAGCAGGGTTGTTGCGAATATTCGCATTCGCATTCGCAACCGCGGAGCTTCCGCATTAATTTTAACATTCGCATTCGCAAAAGATCGGCATTGATTTTGAAGGAAAATTACAGATATTTGTTTTACGAGTTAAACTTGGCCAAATATTTTTTATTCTGAAATAAAAGTACTTTCCGGATAACAAACAAAACGCTTATCCAAATTAAACAAGTTTGGTATCAAATGAAAGAGGACTTAAATAGCTTTAAAACCGAAAAGAGGAAAGCCACACATTAAAAAATATTTCAATAAAAAATGTTAATTAATTACCATAGAACAAACATTGGGTCATGTATGTATCTACATGAATTTCTTTAGTATTAAGTTTTAAAAAAATATAAATAGAGGTGGTAACCTTCATTCGTTATTTCTGTTTAAAAGATGTTTCTGTCCTCTTTCATATGATACCAAATTTGTTTAATTTGGATAAGCGGTTTCTTTATTATCCGGATAGGACGTTTATTTCGGAATAAAAAAATATTAGGCCAAATTTAACTCGGAAAAAATAACTGTTCGGTTCCTGGAATATTGTCCAAGTGCACAGACGTATATCTAACCAGTCACAGAAGAAAGCATTAAAAATGGGTTATAAAAACTAAAATCGAAAAACGCTGATGACGTGACAAATTCCGAAACAACCAAAAGAATTTGAATGAAGAATTCTTTCGAAAAAAACGGTGTTTAAACAACGATTGTGCCATGATGCTAGATTGTGAAGATGAAAGTCAGGAGGATACATCCGACATTTGCAGCCCCGATGAAATTCTCAAAAAGTAATTATTGCACCGCAATACAAATAAATAAATATAACTGAAAGTCCTCTCAAGTGGTGCAGTGTCAATCGAAAAGAATTTACAATTTTGCCAAGTTTCAAGTTTGTCGCCTCGAGCGAGTAGTTATTTAGTGGCGCAGATTTGATTTACGACCCTTCAAAAAGTTTTTATTAGGTACAATGTTCCAATTTTTAAATTCAAGTACTAAAAAAACATTCAGTCTTATCATGAGTTTCATTTTCCCCTAACCGGTTTTCTTTCGGGCAAAACTCAGAAAACTCAAAAAAGGCAGATTATTAAAAATTATTAACCTTTCCATTTATTATTTACCTAAATCACCTAATTTACCCACCTAAATATTTCTTAAAAACACATGACATCCGCATTCACATCCGCATCCGGATGTCTAAAATTCCACATTTGCAACATCTCTACTATAAAGTAAAGCTGTCAAACTATCGACATTTTCGATAGATTCAGTTCTTATGGCCTGTATGCAGCTCTCAAGAAAACGGTCTAGAAAAAATTGTCATTATTTCGTGTGTGTGTCCAAGGAATTTTGACATTTTTGATACTCCACAGCCTGTTGCCTCACTCTTTCCTCAAGAAATAATGGAGCGGGCATATATTTCTGTTGAAAATCTGGGTTGCATTGTGCTCTTTTTTCACAAAAAACTTTAGAAAACCGTAGTAGAAAGCGTAAAAAATTCCTTAAGAACTGCTTAAGAAAATTTCTTAGCCATTTCTTGTACGAAATTTTATATGGAGTTTTTGCTTTTCTTGAGAGCTGCATACAGGCCTTTACTATNTTTCTGTCCTCTTTCATATGATACCAAATTTGTTTAATTTGGATAAGCGGTTTCTTTATTATCCGGATAGGACGTTTATTTCGGAATAAAAAAATATTAGGCCAAATTTAACTCGGAAAAAATAACTGTTCGGTTCCTGGAATATTGTCCAAGTGCACAGACGTATATCTAACCAGTCACAGAAGAAAGCATTAAAAATGGGTTATAAAAACTAAAATCGAAAAACGCTGATGACGTGACAAATTCCGAAACAACCAAAAGAATTTGAATGAAGAATTCTTTCGAAAAAAACGGTGTTTAAACAACGATTGTGCCATGATGCTAGATTGTGAAGATGAAAGTCAGGAGGATACATCCGACATTTGCAGCCCCGATGAAATTCTCAAAAAGTAATTATTGCACCGCAATACAAATAAATAAATATAACTGAAAGTCCTCTCAAGTGGTGCAGTGTCAATCGAAAAGAATTTACAATTTTGCCAAGTTTCAAGTTTGTCGCCTCGAGCGAGTAGTTATTTAGTGGCGCAGATTTGATTTACGACCCTTCAAAAAGTTTTTATTAGGTACAATGTTCCAATTTTTAAATTCAAGTACTAAAAAAACATTCAGTCTTATCATGAGTTTCATTTTCCCCTAACCGGTTTTCTTTCGGGCAAAACTCAGAAAACTCAAAAAAGGCAGATTATTAAAAATTATTAACCTTTCCATTTATTATTTA